GATAGTGACACAGAAAGCAAGCGTTTTTTTTTTTTTTTACCAAGACTGCTGCTTTCCATTGGTAATAGTGCCCCCAAAACTGAGTAAACTGAGTATAACACATGACCTTTTCCTAACCTTAACCAAGTGGTTTTTGCACCTAAACCTAACCACAAGTTAACAACGTTAAAATGTAAAGTCACTACGTATCCGCTACATAATAATGTCCAAATACAACGCATCTGAGGTTTGCAGAAACGTACAATGCCAACATTTTTCCTGCTGACTGGGTTGATTAATGTCAACCTAATGCATCATAGTCCAATAATCTCTCCTTTCAGCTCTGTTTTTGTTCTCCACCAACACCTGAGGGAAATATCTTGCTCTTTAGTGGCCATGTTACAGTCTTCACCAGCCAATTGCTAATGTGTTGCTAAAGTGGCCTGCTGCAGCTGTAAACAACACTGAAGAGAGCAAACCAAAACTGTAAAGTTGCGGGTTGTAAAACAGTGAGTTAAAAGATTAAAAATCATTTGTAGAGCTGAGGAGAACTGCAGAGACGGATAATAACTCTGTGGGTTCCCTTTTCAGATTACACACAGTTATTTTATCCATTGTTAATATAAAAATATTGATCGCAGCCACTTTATTATACCAAGATAGTCTCTTGAGCGTCCTGGCCAAAATGGCAGCTCACTCTACTGACAATAAAAGAAAAATCCCAGTAGAAAATACAGAAAAGACACAATTAATTTTTGCTTGCTTAATAATGCCATTGGTGACACGCTGTACAAAGCTTCAGCTGGTAAATACTACTGCCAGCAGTATGAAATTGAGGACACTGTACACATGTGAAGACAGTGTCCTATAGTCCTGCTGTAACTGTGCCTCTCTGCAGTCCCCAGTGATGAGTGATATGTTGGAGTCTTTACCTGAGGCCATCTCTCCCCGTGCACAGCTACTCTGAACTGCAAGGGCAACGAGGAGAGACACCCTGTGGCTCCAAACAAAGGCGAAGGCTCCCAGCAGTAATCGGAAACTATCGTCTCTCCCCACGCCGCTTAAACCCGCAACCCCTGCTCAGTTATGATGACACTGCCTTTTAATGTCCCACTAACAAATATGCCCCCGAATCAAAGGAAATTGGATTGATTTCAGCACCAATGTTGTCAACCTCCTCTCAAGGTCACTCTGCCAGCGTTTTGCAGGAAGAAAAAAAAGGGCAGGATGTAAGAGTTGAAGCATTAAAAATTGCTGAGGACCAGTCTGGAGTCTGTCCAAGACAAAGTTAGAAGTACTTCACAAATCAATGCCTGCTCTCTGCATCCCCCACACTTCTTTTATGCTCTGAAATGACAGAATGTAGTGCAAGCATTCTTTTTTTTAACATCTGGTGTCAATATTTCAGGTTAACTTCAAAGAAATTACTGATAGCATTCAGCCCTCTTCAGTCAGCGATCTACCGTCTATTTAAGGCTACGTTCTGCAGTTTTTGAGATATGAGGTTTAAGTGAAGGGTAAAGATGTCCAAAAGGGGCCAAAGTTGGGATGGCTTCGAGTGGTATTCAAGTGGGAATATAAGCAGACAAATACGGAAAACAAACATGGCCTACCAACAGTTGCAACGGTGTCGTCCTTGCCCTGGGTGAACACCACCACTCGCTGCCTCTTCATATTCTCCTTGGGGAGGTTTTGGGTCTTCTTTGCAATCTCTCCAATGTCATCTGTCTGTAAAAAAACACCAAACCACTGTTAAACTGAATGAATGCATCGTGAAGAGCTATTTCTGAGGAGTTAATCAAAGATCACAATTGTGACTGAGAGAGGTCAGATTTTTTTTCCCAATCCTAGCAGACGGATCAAGCGATAATGAAACCAGATGGGCTATGAAACCGCTTCGAAAAAGATCAATAGGAGTGCTCGATGATGTTTCCATGCAGTTACGGGCGAGCTGTAAAATATTAGAATGTCATATTCCCTAAGTGAGATGAAAATAAGCGTGTGAAGATATGCTGTTGTCAGATAAAGCTACTTCTGAGCTGAAGGGATAGGTGGTGCGTGTACTGTATCATTCTCTTCCTGAAACAGGCCATCTCTCCTCAGCATCTGCACAGAATGGATATTCTCGCCTGGAGACGACAGAACTCTCCGGAGTGCTTGCCTTTGATCATGAGAGGGATAAAAAAACCCACACCTGTCAGTGCTACTTTATTATTAACTCATCATGATGTACTATGAGCAGGTGGAATGTCTTTATCGCCCGTCTCGCAGTGGGGTGGACTCTGCTTTTCCATAATACAGCACACTGAGGAGCTAGCATTAAGGGTCGCCGATGCCTCTAGCATCTGTGTCAAAGCTAACACTCGAGCACCTTCAGGGCGAGCAAATACCGTGGTTATGGGAGTAATCAGAGAGATAGGCTCCAGCCCGATACCACCAGCCACACTGGCTCACTCAAACCAATGAGCTTTTACACCTCTAAATGCCTCCCAAATGTCCTTTAATCAGCCCTGAGAGGTCCGGGGAGACCCTGGGCCGAGGAAAAATGGGTGTAACACTCTAAGTAAGTGCTAATGGTGAGGTTAATACAGAGGCTGTTAGCAGGCGATGGTGAAAAAAAAAGGCAATTTGTCACTGTGACTGGATGTAACCACAAGCACTCCTCCAGACACTGAATGCAAACCGCACAAGGCTTCGGCACATTGTCACCCTTCGGTTTTATGTTCCCCGACATAAAAAAGGCGCTCTACTCAGGTTTAGGAGCTAAAAGGTTCTAAGGGCCAGAGGTGGTAGGGTAAGCATCATGGCTGTTGAGCAGGGTAAGCTACGCTCACACAAACACACACGACTTGCTCCTTTTTGCCTGGCAGAAACACTTACCTGACGAGTTCCTGCGGCAAAACAATGCGGAAAAATAAGTGCAAAACAAATGAATTGACAAATGATACGGTCAATTTAGTTTACTGCTGACAAATGGCAATATTTACGATTGTGCGGCAATTGATCAGACATAAATCAACAAAGCGTGAAATATAAAAGCTTCACGAGGGTGTTAAATTGTGTTTCTGTGTTGAAGCCAGTGAGAAAGTGATCGTCTCCACCGCAGGCTGTTTGACAAACACTGCCAGGGAAAGATTCAATCAGAGCTGCGATGTAGATAGTTCTTTGAGCATTTAAAGGAAACAGATCACAATCAGGGCGACTGTGTTCAGATCTGCTGATTGCTGTTTTGGAGAGGATGAGCTTTTTTTGTGTCTTGTATTTATACTGAAGAGGTGCTGCTGTCATTTCTGTTAGTCATCTATAATATGAAGATGACACTTTCAGAATACATTATGAGTGCATCATGTCAGATATTGACAACTGGGCAGCAACTACAACAAAATCCAATGATGGCATCACTCAAAAGTGCCCCACTGACCAATATACTGGACTTTAACTGAATATAAATGAGCCTCACTGCCCTAAAAAGAGTCAAACTGCATATAGAGACACACTCCTGTACACTGCATTTCTTACTGTTAGCTGTCTTTCAGATATTTAGTGTACATTTCTTATAGTAGATATATATTGTTGATGATATGATCAAATTGTGTTACAGTTTTACAAAAGTCTGCTGTCAAATTTCATGATTGACCATGTCTCAAATTCCATCAAACATTCTATTTAGTACACTGTGTACACTAAACACTACACTAAAATCTTAGTATGAAACCAATAGTACACGAATTGCATACTATTTTAATCTACCAGTTAGCTCTGCTGGTAGCGCTCTGGATATGTCACCCCGTGTATTGTTCTGATTGGTCGTAGTGTTATCCAATTGCGTGCAGTGATATTTTCAAATGGACGCTTGGTGCCGCCCCTCGAGTTGGGCCATTTGCATTAGTCATAGCCAGACCCTAAATCTTTCTAGATTTGGGTCTGGATTTCCAGGCTACCGGAAATGTTAGCTAATGCAAAAAAATTGTCAAACAACTACTTCCAAGATCGGTCACGAATCTTATCGCTAAGTAGTTTGGATTATTGCATGTGACTTTACACACATTTAACACATTGTATATTAGGGTTCAAAAAATATTCTTATTATACCAGTTATACTGATTTCAGCTGTATCAAACAGGTTTATTCTGTACTCATCGCTGTGCACCGAACTTCAATACTTTTATGGCTCTGACCAAAAATACTGTCAATTGGTATTACATATCAATACCCAAGCGCCCCCACCTTGGGTTTGAACCAGGAACCCTCTTGCTGTGAGGCGACATTGCAAACCACTGCACCACCGTGCTGTAATGTAATCTTCTTTTTTTTGTAATGGTTTTAATAAATTTGGAATCTAAAAGTATCGCTCAGGAACTGGTATTGAAGTCTAGGTATTGGTACCTGTAATGAAATTTTTCTGATACCCAACCCTAACTGTGAAACTAATGTCCTCCTCCAATAAATCAATAATTTGTCTGCTGTTTCCAGCTTTACATAAAGTTCTCAAAATAACTATATATATTCTATATATTGATATTGTGAAGACTTGTCAGTGCACAACTGCAGCATGTGGGCAAGTAAAATTGTCATCAGAAAGTGACAGGAAGAGAAGACAGTTGTGAAGAGCCTCTTTGAACTGCAACCATGTAGAAATGCAGTAAGTACAGTACACACCACTGATGTTATCTGAGAAATCACATTCATCCAATGCAATTTCTCAGAGTGTTCTGGCAAATCAAGTTGACATGGAAAATGTCAAAGAATTGTAACTACTAGGAGAGTCTACACTTTGCCCTTTGTGTTTTTTTTTTTTTCATGTGAGGCCCCCTCCATCACTACCAGCCGCCCCCTCCCTCTTTCCCTGCCTTCATCCCTTCTCCTCTCTTAAACCTGTCACTGCCATCAGGATTGCATTTCTATTCCAGTCACGTTGATCACACCGTTAGTGATTCTGGATGACAATTATTCACACAGTGCAGAGCCATACTCAAGGCAGCTCTACCTTTGAAAGAGAGAAGGCACTTAAAATACCTGAGCCCATTTGAAAAACACACACACGCACCGGCTATTTGTGTTTTTGATTTCACATTTAAAAAGCAGCGCGAGGAATATGCAAAATGCAAGCAGAAAATAGACCAAGGGAACATTCATTTTACACGTAAGAGGCAGCCCCACTTTAAAAGCACATTCTATGGGGAGACAAGCACTGTAATTTTCATTTCCATAATCTAAAACCACAGGTGGCTGTAATTTGGTTATTAAAAGACTACAGTGTGTTCCAGTGTGGTGTAATGCCATAGCAGTGAAGGGAAGACATACAGTATCATCCCTGAGTGCAATGAAGATAATGAGGAGGCTTTTTAACCAGGCAACCTGATGAGCCCCGAGCCTGCAGAGAAAGGCTTGAAACCATGCCCAACTTCTCAGCTTCCCAAGAGGCTTTTCAAAATTCAATAAATAACATCTGTAGGCGATGTTGGGTGCAGACCTAGCAGAGTGCGTCATAACAGAGAGCTGGCTGAACAAAGAAACCATGACGACTGCCAGGTTTCCATAGCAACTGCTGCAAGGCCTGGAGAGTATAATAGCACATCAATCACTGTCCAAAAAGAACTTCATTATCAGCAAAAATAAACCTTTAGGATCTGTTTAGTGTGCAATTGCCGGTCAACTCACCTCAAAGCCCAGCTCTTTGGCAAATGTGGCCGCCTCCTAGAAAAGAAAAAACACACACACATACACACAAATGAGCAGTTAATTACAGAGTCACAAACAGAGCAGGATGTCACACTCCAGACGTGAAGTAAAGACATCTCGCTTGCCTCCGCTCCTCACATGTGCGGCCATGTCACCTGAGAATAAGTAACCTGAGTTAGTGTTGCTCTGCCAACCCCTGATTTAATAGGCGTGCAGCCCACCCATTTAATCTATTGCCCCACTTCGTCTCATCTTACCACTGCAGCGTGAGGTAACACCACGTCAGCCTCCAGCCATGAAACCGCCACTGAAACCATGAATATGTGCTGGTATGTGGGATTCCCCAACACTGCAGGCATTCAACACCCACCATGTTTTTTTCAGTCTCCCAACAGGTGCACTTTAAAGGCTCACACTAGTGTTTATGCAAGTTTGTGCTCCTAAGCTACAAATCGTGTACACTTCACATTGATGCTTAACTTTCTCAAATACATGCTGTAGTTTTAGATTTTGAGATATATTTTACAATTTCAGGCACCCATTGGTTTCCATTCATTTAAGCATGTTATGAGAAATGGATGGCAAACTCTTGAAACTTGCTAAGTTGTGGAATCCAAATTAATGTTAAATAGTTTTACATATGTGGATGTATTTTTGCAACAGTTTAGGTAGCCACTGATTTCTATTGATTTCCATACAATATTAAGACATCATTCACAAACTCTTCAAACTTACTTGAGTTATCTAATCTAAATCCATGCTGTGCAGTTTTAGATGTTTAGATGTATTTTTTCCCACTGTTTGTGGTGGTCACTGATTTCTATTGATTTCCATACAATATCAGGAAATTATTAGCAGACTCTTGAAACCTGCTTGAGTTGCGCATTCTGAATTCATGTTGTATACTTTTTAACATTTGGATGTATTTTTCCCACTGATTTAGGTAGCCATTGGTTTCCATTGATTTCCATACAGTATTATGAAATTATTAGCAGACATTTTAAACCTGCATTAGTTGCATTATTCAAATTCATGTTGTGTAGCTTTAGACATTTGGATGTATTTTTGTTACTGTTTCTGGTTGCCATTGATTTCTCAAGATTTCCATACAATATTAAGAACTTATTAGTAGACTCTTGAAATCTGCTTAAGTTGTGCAATCCAAATTCATGTTGCATAGTTTTGGATATTGGGATGTATTTTTGCTACTTTTTTAGGTAGCCATTGATTTTTATTGATTTCTATATAATATAAAGAAATTATTAGCAGACTCTTGGAACTTGCATTAGGGTGTGTAATCCAAATTCATGTTGTGTTGTTTCAGATATTTGGATGTATTTTTGTTACTGTTTCAGGGAACCATTGGTTTCCATCGATTTCCATACAATATTAAGAAATTATTTGAAGACTCTTAAAACTGTTGTCTGTGTTATCTGAACTTAGTCCATGCTGTGCAGTTTTAGATATTTGGATTTATTTTTCCCCCACTCTTTTTTCCCTACTGTTTCAGGCAGCCATTGATTTCTATTGATTTCCATACAGTATTAGGAAATTATCAGCAGACTGTAAAACTTGGTTGGGTTATATAATCCAAATTTATGCTTTATAGTTTGAGACATTTGGATTTATTTTTCCAATTGTTTTAGGGAACCATTGCTTTCCAATGATTTTCACACAATATTAAGAAAATGATCAGCAAACTCTTAAGACTTGAGGTCTTTTTTTTATCCATCACAGTGAACCTCAAGTCCACATCCGATGGTACAATTCTGCATTATTTGCATTTTGGTTTTTTTTTGTTTGATTTACTGGATTTACTAGATTCCACAACTCAAGAGTTTCAAGTTTCAAGAGTCTTTCATTTGATTTACATGTTGTATGAAAATGAATGGAAACCAACAGCTGCCAGGGAAAAATGCACCCAAAACTTGCCCCCTAAATATAGAAAGTTCCACCAAAAAAAGTTATACGTGATTGGTTTTCTCAGCTTATTTCTCAGTATTTGAGGACACATTTCAGGTCTGCTTTTTATATCATTCAGAAATGAATGGAAATCAATGGATGCCTGGAATGGAAGGAAAATGTATACACTAGAACAAACTTATACTAAAACAAACCTTTACATCATGCCTGTGAATATGTTTGGCAAATGTGTACCATATGAGTGGTTTTAGAATGTTTCAGGGTCTGCTATTTGATTTCTCAAATTCTAAAGAAATAAATGGAAACCAATGGATACCTGGAGTGGTAAGAAAACACTGGACAAAAAAAAGAAGCTGTACATCATGCATTTGAATATGTTTGCCAACTGTGTACCATATGAGTGGGTTTGGAATGTTTCAGGGTCTGCTAATTGATTTCTCATATTGTAAAGAAATTAATGGAAATCAATGGGTGCCTGAAATGGTAAGAACATATACCACAAAACAAAATAAACCTCTACAGCATGCATTTAAATATGTTCAGCAAACCACACACCAGTGTTTTGGGATGTTTTAGGGTCTGCCAATAGCTCTGTCAAGCTGTACAGAAAATAATGGAAATCAATGGACTCTTGGAATAGTAGGGAAAACACATCCAAAACTCTAAAATGCACCAGCAATGTTTGCAATAGCTGTGATGTTCAAGAGATGTAGGCCAAAACACGCAACATCTTTGGCATGATCCTTTAACTGGTGACAGAAGCTGTTGCTCGTTGGTTCAGAACGATGCCACAAATCATGACAGACAACCTCGTGCACTAAATTCACTTCTGACCCCAGACGGGGCAATAAGTTGATGCTATGATTCTAAACAATCCAATTATCTGCAGAGGGGGGGCTGGTATTTGCGTGACCTTGGGGAGAGGTTGACAACCTGGTCCTCAAACAGAAGGGGAGGAGATGACATGGAACAATAAGGTTACTGGTCCCTGGAGGAAAGCCTCATGGCTCTCTGCCTTGGATCAACATCACAGCGCCAGCAATATGTCAATTCATCACCCCCACCCTCCACTTCTTCAACACACACGGGGGCAAAGAGGCTAGTCAATTAGCTGCTGTACTCAAGAAGCAGTTTTATAATGAGTAAAGGTGAGTAGTCTATTCCTTCCCCCTCCCTTCACCTTTTTCAATCTATCGAATGCTTAGGTCTCACATTTGTTTTCATTTATTTACAACCACATATTGACTTTTCTCCTCAGGAACGTTTCATCACCGGCGAGCATGAGGCATCTCACAGGGACACGAGCAGCTTGGAAAATGTCTTGTCAAAACAGTGATATTTCATCTGAAAGCATTTAAAAAGAGACACATGAATGAAGGCTGGAATAACGACGGTGCTGCTGAGCGAAACATGCCTCTATCTCACCCTCCGTCTCTCTCTAGTTAGCAGCTATAATATTTGTGAGAAAAGCCTTTGGAGAGAGTGTGGGTGTTAGAAGAAAAGATAATTGAAGCGATGTCTATGAGCCACATGTGTACAGTGTAATCCCTTTTAGGAATTTATTAATTTCTATGAGCTGCTATGAATGCTAACATCAAAAATATTTGGTACTATAAGCTCAGCTAAACCTAATATATTGCTATGATAAATACTGTATGGTGGTAAATATGCAATTACCGGGGCTGCAGAGGGAAGCCAATAAAACTGAAATGATAGGCAATAAAAGTAACAATTTCTTAAGGGGCTTACAGCATTAATATTCAGAAATCTTATGTTTCAGGCTGTGTATGTTTCACATTTGACGTGTGCTGTTTTGGTATGTTGTTGTAGACGCTTTTCAAATGACGGTCCATGTGCTTCTACAGCTGTCGCAACAATGACAAGTGCTTCGAGTGACATCTGGGCAAAATCCTCTCGTGCTCAAAAAAGCATCTCGTTTGTTCGGAGATTGCTGTGATTGCATGCTCGCCTTTGATGATCCGCTCCGAGTCTGATTTCCGAAAAGGAGAGAGGGCTGTTGCAGATTTCGGGGGCCCGTAAGTTCTCCTCCTTCTCCTCCTCGGGCAAACAAGGTAAAAGATAACAAGGCGGGCTGAGTGCATGAGCCCTCTGCAGCCATAGTTAGTATAAAGCTATCAGAATGTGTGAGATGTTGCTGCTGTCAGAGGCTTAAACAGTCAAAGGGATATTTTTAGAGAGCTTAAGCTAATAATCCAGAGCCCAGTCAGGGGGGCGGGAGTCTACAATTTCTTGCCAAGCAAAATGAAAGAGGAAATACACACTTCATGCAAAGGGCAGTTTTCAAAGCCTCACACTTTGTTTTCCTTGACACTGTATGTGACAGGAGCATAGCAGGCCTGGTCTGTGCAGCCACGGTTGGTGGGCATGAAGCTTCCCACTGCTATATAGACTTCATTTTCTCCCTTTTATAAAGCTCAACTACTCAATGTGCATTCAGTCGTCGTATGATATTTTATCATAAACAGAGGCGCAACGTGGGCATTCAGGGCTCTGGAAGAGAAAACCCTATTCATTTCCTCATAGATAATGTTGGTTGTCTCGCGGTTTGGGACCTCAGGGACTTGAAGGGACACAAAACTCTTTCAATTAAATCCTCAGAACAAACAATGAGAAACTGTGTGTTAAAAGTTCAGTGATAACAGGCCAAAAGGCACAAGACTGTGTACATAAAAAACAGAAGGAGAGAACTCAACTACAACTCCCAGTGAACACTGGGGTTAAGACACATTCAGTCACTGAGCTTTGCGATGCTGATGGCAGCAGAAGCTAGGAATTACACTGAGCAGAACTCCGAAAATGCATCTACATCCATACAAACATGCTAGAATTCTTTTTTTAAATCAGTTTTGTTGTTGTTGAGTCTTCTCTATAGCAACAGCTGCTGAAACACAAACTGTACCCTCTCTGACCCCTTTTACATCCACACAAGTAGTCATTTGATCACTGCTGATATAAAAATATTGGCGTTAGTTGCTTTAAATATTTATAATTAGTGGCCATAATATAACATAACAATCATCCAATCCTATTGTTTGACACAGTGCTGTGTTGAGGAACACTGATCATTCATC